GGCTATCTTGTCTCTCTCTCGTTTTCCTGTTAGGCCGCTAGGCCTATTAGCCTCCTTGTCTGGGATGAGTCATTCCAGCACTTGGGAACATAGACAACATGTGAATCAACACAGAGTCAATGGAAAATAGTTTACTTCTAGATAAATTACTTTTTGAAACTGTGATTTCCTTGTTTACTACCTCAATGAGTTCCTGTGGGCTGAAGGTTAAAGGTATTTTCTTTTGTGGTCTGGGAGTACAACCTTCATGCCCACTTTATCTCATCTACTGTCCTCTCATAGAAGGTGACTTTAAATGGAAGCAGGGTAAGTCATAATTTTGAATAATTGTTTTTTATCTCCATTTTAATTCCATGAACTTTCATATGCTCTCCTGGTCATGTTAAATGCCTTAATAACCTTAAACACATACTCATATATTCAGTGTCACAGATAATTCAAATCATGATTTAGACTTCATAGTTTCTCAATTTGTGCTATTAATATGATTTAAGAAATAAAATTATATGTTTAGATCAAATAACAGAATGGATTCTTTTATATGTGTTCATTTTCTCTTTGTTATAGATACTTTCAAGCTTTGGTCAGTAATATGTCTTTGGTAAAATATAAAGAAGTTTATGCAGCAGCAGCAGAAGTTTTAGGACTTATTCTTCGATATGTTACTGAAAGAGACCATGTGAGTATATTGTGCAGTTTTAAATATATGCTTCTTTTAAAATTTTGATTTATCATGGCACTTGATAAATCCTCGGTACTTTAAGACCAAGTGAGCAGTCTACATGTATTAATACTTTAACTGAATTTCTAGTTATCATATACAGGGCTCATTTTTTTAAAGAAGACATTTTTAAAAATACTCAGAAATTTGGTAAATATTTAAATTTGGTAGCTTACCTTTTATTGTAAAAGTTGGGATTTGAGTATTTAATCAGTTTTTATCCCCTGAACTTTGGTTTTGGGGTTTCCTTATAGAATAAATTACTCTGATACCTGTTGTGGTTAGGGCTAAATTAAACTATTAAATCCCAGTTGCAGTATGTATACTTATTTTCTATTATTTTACCCTAATTGCTGGGTTTCTGTTGTTATATATAATATCTTTGTTGAATAGTTACTGACTGGTCCTAGGCTCTGGGAGTGCAGCCAATAAAAGGACAGAACAACCCTAGGGAGTGGGCATTTTTGAGGGGAGAAAAAAATGCACAAAGGATCTATCTTAGTAGGTAAGAATAAATAATAGAGAAAATAGGATATAGGGAGATAGACAGTGACAGACTGCTATTTAGACAGAGTTGCTTGAAAAAATCAGGTTTGAGTATTTTTCTCAGAGAGGTCTGAACATTAAATGCAAAACACAATTTTTAAAGATTTATTTTTTTATGCATACAAGAACTAGGGTACAAGCCAGAGGAATGAGGGGTGAGTGGATTCACCAGAGACAGAGAGGGAACAGAACAGGTAGACTGACTGAAATATACTGCTGAGGGGAGAATGGGTGAGACAGGAGAGGTCTGCTGTACCATGTGGGTCACCTCGATACTTGTGCAGCAGTGGCTGAGGATAGCTTCACAGTGCTGTGCTTTAACCCCTTGTGCCACCAGGGAGGGCCCAACATAAAAAATTTATAAAATCAATTTTAGTTCAGTTTCTCAAATAACTTGTCTGTGTTTGAGTGTTAGAAGGAAACTCTAACCTTTATCAGTCTGACAGTACACACACATCAGTGCCTGGCTCCCCTGAAATCAGTAGAGCTTCTGATGGGCAGGTCGGTGATAATAGCCCCGTGGACACTCCCTGCACTTCACCTTGCAAATAACTGTTATAGATGCTAACACTAACCATCTTCCTAGGATTTACTTTGCCATTTTTAGTGCCTTGTGTATTTGAAAAGAAACTTAATTTTCCAGATACTACAGGCGTCAATATGTGAACTGATTGTAAAACAGTTGAAGCAACATCAGAACACAATGGAGGACAAATTCATCATATGCTTGAACAAAGCTGTGAAGAACTTCCCTCCTCTTGCTGACAGGTAGGATGATGTGGTGGTAAATGTCCCATGGCAGAATAGGTTCTGTGAGCACCTTCTGAACTTGCTGACTGTTCACTGATTCTCAGGTTTATGAACACTGTGTTCTTCCTGCTGCCAAAATTACATGGTGTGATGAAGACTCTTTGCCTAGAGGTAATACTATGTCGTGCAGAGGAAACAGCAGATCTTTACCTACAACTAAAGAGCAAGGATTTCATCCAAGTCATGAAACACAGGTGAGTGGGACCCAGTCCCATCTTCATAGATGCATTTGGCTCATAAATTTGCACTGATTAGCAGTCTCATTCAACTCATAAAGAACTTGCAGGTTATCATGAAACACATATTTGTGATATGTTGTATGATGTTTGAATTGGAGAATAAAAGTAATGGGCTTTGCCTTCCTGTTCCTCCAACATGATACCTTGGGGAGGCCATATCTCTGGGGTATCTAAGACTATTTTCAGATTTAAAAAGCATTGTTTTGAAATTTTTACCTATTTTTTACAGGGAAGAAGCTTCTGTTACTTTAAAATTGTTCATTTATTTTCAGCATATCAATGTATAATTTAAAGTAAATATTAAGATAATACTATTGCCAAAAAAATAAACACATGCCTTTTGCAGAAACATGGATGGAGCTAGAAAAGATCATGCTAAGTGAGATAAGTCAGAAAGAAAAGGAAAAATACTGGATGGCTTCGCTCATAGCAGGAGTAAAAAGGACCAGGGGAGAAAATAATAATAATGAACAACTATATACCAGAGACATTTATGGGGGTGGAATGGGGTATGGGATCAAAAACTGGGGGGAAGGGAAGTGCACTAAACTGTGGTGATGGCACACAGGTGACTTGGTGATGGGAAAACCACAGAGATTATACAATGGAGATGGAAAAAGGCACAAAATGATATAATAAAAATAAACTATTATATTATTTTAAAAAAAGAGAATACTGTTGCATACTTACTTTTTTATTTCTCTAAATTTTTAGTCATGTCTTGCAGATATATTTTTAAACAGTAATAAATTTTCCAGTCATGTCTTGCATATATATTTTTAAACAGTAATAAATCACTGATGAATCTGTATAGTGAATTCCAGTTAGAAAAAATTTATGTCTTCTAATAGCCTTCAGTGTGCTGAATGTCTACAGTGTAGGGCATGAAATTGGGTGCCTCCTTTAAGGAGGTAAAGGCATACAAAACAAAGAAACAGGTGAGTACCTCATTTGACAACCTTGTATATTACATGCCTGGTAGCCTGACAAGCTACTCTTATATATTTAGCTTATTTTGTTTGACATTGTCAGGTATTTTCAAATAAAATTTTTATTTTGGAGTAGTTTTATATTTACAGAAAATTTAGAAGATAGTATACGGCATTTCCACAAATCTTTCACTCAGTTTTACCATTTTATATATCACGGTGAGTTTGTCAAAACTAAGACATTAATTTTAGTACATTACTCTTAAATCAACTTTATTTAGTTTATATTCCAGGATCCAATTCAGGATACCACACTGGACTAATTTGTTTTTAATAATTTAGGTCATGATAATTTTTTTTTAAAGATTTATTTATTTATTCATACAGAACTGGGCAGAGATGCGGAGGGTGAGAGGATTCACCAGAGACAGAGTGGGGAGCAGAACAGGCAGATGATCAAAGTACACTGCTGAGGGGAGCAGCGGGCGGGTCAGGAGATGTCTGCCACCCATGTGGATCTCCTCCGGGGAAGGCGGGATGGCAGCGGAAGTGGCTTAAGCTTCTTAGTGCAGTGCTTTAACCCGCTGCGCCACCAGGGAGATCCTAGCTCATGATAATTTTTAACAATGTTATTTTAAGTATTAGCTATTATGTCATTTTAGAATACAGAATAGCTTAAACAAGAAAAATTTTTATCATATCTGAAAGTATGGTGATAAATATTATTAAATTTGTGTGTTTTTAAAAAATCTGTTATTATAGAGATGATGAAAGACAGAAAGTGTGTTTGGACATAATATATAAGATGATGGCAAAACTGAGACCGGTAGAACTTCGTGAACTCCTGAATCCTGTTACAGAATTCATTTCTCACCCCTCTCCTGTATGCAGGGAGCAAATGTATAATATCCTTATGTGGATCCATGACAACTACCGGTAAGCTCTGTGTTATTTAACTTTTTTTCAAAGGAATCATGTGAGTGCCTTTAGCAGTCTGGTACAGAGTATAATAAATAATAAAAAAAATCTTGACACATAAGATTAATAGTTCAAGCTATTTTGTTTAGTATATTGAAATACATGCTTACGTTAACTCATTTTACACATGTGGGAAATACTCAAGAGAGTGAAATCCTTGGTTAATTTAATTGTGTAAATGCCCTGCTATAAAATTTGCTCCATAGTCATTCCTATAAGGTTTGACAAGATTAAGAAAATGAGCTCAGGGCCTTCATCCTTGAGGGCACTGTCAAGCCTTTCCCTGTGGAACCTGGGCTGTCCTAACTCCCCTTAAAGTTCCAAGGGAGCCCTCTGCAGCCTCATTCCCACCACTCATCCTTCTCTTCTGTGCACAGGATAGGGTGGGCCAGCACAAATGGGCTTCAGAGAGACTAAAAGTAAGTACTAGGAAATATGCATGAGGATGGTCTTACCATGATTTTGAAAATTCCAATTCCATGGGAAAGGCCAGTTGTTTTTTTTTTTTTTAAATGTTATTCTTAGTGTTATTGGAGTTGAGCAAAAGTGTTAGAAGAGATAATGTTTTATTTTGTTCTTTTTTCTCAGAGATCCAGAAAACCAAAGAGATGTTGACTCCCAGGAAATATTTAAATTGGCCAAAGAAGTGTTGATTCAAGGATTGATAGATGAGAACCTGGGGCTTAAGTAGGTGTACCTCCTAGAGTAATTGGGCCAGAACAAATGAATTTAGGGGTATTTCTTTATAGATTGGTATAGAGTATTTTTAGCATTTATGTGCAATAGTAGCATTTTTTCCTTCCCATAACCATGATGTCTAATAAGTATGTATTTTAGTCACACTAAGACTTTTAAACATTTTGAAAAGTTGCTTTAATAGAAAACTTGAAAAAGCAGTATCAAAAAGCACTCTCTGTTATTGCAGTGAATTAAAGAGCTTCAAATGAAAAATAAATTTTTTTTAAAGATTTATTTATTTATGCATGGGCCAGAGGTGCAGGAGCAGTGAGAGGATTCACCAAAGACAGAGTGGGGAACAGAGGAGGCAGATTGACAAAGTATACTGCTGAGGGGAGCAGTGGGCGAGACAGGAGAAGTCCACTGCACCATGTGGATCACCTCGGGGCTGGGATCAAACTTACACTGAAGCAACTGCAGCTCACTTGCAGTGCTGCACTTTAACCCTCTGCACCACCAGGGAGGGCCCCATGAAAAATAAAATTTTAATGAGGACTCTGTTTTCCATTCAACTATAAATAGTTGAGATCAGACTATACATTAATGTTATTAATGCTAACTGAACTATAATGAAAACTAATTATCTGGAAGTATGAATGTTTTATATACATACATATCTATATATATTTGTGGGAGTAGATGGTGCTCCTCTGAAATGCCTACCTAAGTTAGTTACATGAGTGTTTTATATAAGAAGGGGTAGAAACTTTGTGTATGATTCTGAATATTAATTATTGTCCAATTTTTAGTCATTGAGCTTTAAATATTGTACTCAGATTTTATAAGCATTTATTAATTGTAAAGCCTAGTATGATTTTTAACTAGTTTATGATTTGGGTATTTTTATGGCACTAACTTTTGGAGTAAATATTTTAGCAAGGCAGTGAAGGACAGTATGTAATATCTTCAGTTGTTTTCTCAGTTTCAAAAAGTTAATTTGTACTTATCATCAAGAGCTTCCCAGATAGATGAGAACAAAGTAATCTCATTTGTCACCTCTTATTAAATATTCTAATGTCCTGTAATTTTCTCTTCCTTCAATGCATATTTTTTATAACTCAGATTAAACTCTTTATACAAATTTAAATGTGTTCTTCCTGTGTTAAATTATATAGATGACCAACTATATCTCTTCACATGTCAACATATGTGTGACTTTTTTTCTCATTTGTTAACATACTTCTTTCCTCTCTGCTTTTCAGATTAATTATTCGAAATTTCTGGAGTCATGAAACTAGGTTACCTTCAAATACCTTGGAACGATTGTTGGCACTAAATTCTTTATATTCTCCTAAGATAGAAATGCACTTTTTAAGTTTAGCAACAGATTTTCTGCTTGAAATGACCAGCATGAGCCCAGATTATTCAAACCTTATGTTTGAGCACCCACTGTCTGAATGTGAATTTCAGGTAATGTACTTATTTTTGTAATTGTTAACTTTTCTGTTAGTCAGTAGACATTTATTAAAACTGTTAAACTGGCTTTATCATTTTCCTTGAGGTATTCACACATTCCTTTCTGAAACATTCACATTTGTCTGTTCTGCCCATACTCCTTGTACTCAGCTCAGCTCACACTTTTTCTTTTATTCTCCACCTAGAATTTCTTTTCTCCATTTTGCTTTCTTCCCCTTCCATTGCTCCTAACATTCACTGAATAGATAAGTTTGTGCCTTATGGCCTCCTCAACAAAAGTATACTCTGACCCCTAAAGCTCCTGCTTGGCAGCACAGAGCATCGCTCTATTCTTCCCATTCATGGGTTCCTGGTCTTTGTCAGTGGGTTGAGCTTGTGGTGAGTCTTGAGCTTGTAGCAGTTTTATTGTGGTGCCGTTATCATCTGTGGCATTAGACCTTTTAATATGGAGTATTAAGGAGTAAAAAAAAATGGTTTTTATTCCCCAATAATTGGAAAATAATTATTTAGTTAAAATTTTTTAATTTGAAAAGGTTCTTGGCTGCTTCTCAAAAAGAAAAATGAATGTATTGCTTATGTACTGATAGTACCACTAGGTCTTAAATAAAAATATTTCAGTATTGCTAAAGAAGCTATTTCATGTGACACTCTTTATGCAGGAATATACTATTGATTCTGACTGGCGTCTCCGAAGTACTGTTCTTACTCCAATGTTTATTGAGACTCAGGCCTCCCAAAGTGCTCCCCAGAACCGGACCCCAGAAGGATCCCTCTCAGCTCAAGGGATATCAGCTAGACAGATACGAGCCACACAGCAGCAGACTGATTTCACACCTACACAAAATGCAGGTAACCGTCCACCTGAATACCTGGCTGGTGTATACCAGGCACTGACCTGTGGAATCACCTGCTGCTGCAGGAACACTGACTAAAAGAAAAGTGAAACTAATAGAGAAAAAAATGATAACTATAAAAGATGTCAGTCAAAAGAGATAAAGAATGAGGAGCCTAGTCTAGTCAAATTTAGAAGACAGAAAAATAAAGAGAGCAAATAGGAGGCTGGTTTCCAGGGTCTGGGAGTGTGAGACAGTGGTATTGGTCTTTAATGAGTGTGACGTTTCAGCTTAAAAGTTCTGGAGATGGATAGTGGTGATAGTTGTTCAACTATTTGAATGTACTTGATGCTCAGAACTCTCTGCTTAAAATGCTTAAAAAAATCAATTTGATATGTACATTTTACCTTTTTTTTAATTTAAAGTATTTCTAACAAAGAAATGAAGTCTCAGTACTGCATGTTTGTTTTGGTTTCATCAAAAATGACCTGTTTAGTACATCAAATTTTAAAAATCCTTATATCAAAAGCAAGTAGAGCTAAACCAAATTCATTTATTATGTTTGTAACCTATTTCACTTTCTTTCCCACATGGTTCAATTGTTTCTCTCGATCAGCAAAATATAAGGTCTTTTTATTTTATATAAATATTTAAATTTTCTTTCTTTTGTTCATTTCTTTACAATGTTTGCTTTCTTTTCTCAGGGGTAGGCCCCATAGAATTTCCACTACCAATTCACCTGTGCACCATCTCCATAGTCCCTTGTGTTCTTCCCGCCATCTTTTTGACCTCTTCCCTCTCCCCGTTTCCTGTTTATTTTTAGATTTTGTGTTGTGTTTTTTAATTGTTATTTTTTTTTACCCTATTCCTTATTTGGTTCCCCTATACTACTCCTGTTAGTGAAATCATTTGATGTATTTAACCTTCTTAAAAAAATGTTCACAGATGGTTGGCTCTTTGAGTAGGACTAATTTAAATGACACTGCTGTTAGAAAGTGTGGCTCATATTCTCTTATATTACAGATGAAATAGCACTCATGTAATGGTTACTGCAGCCTGAAGGAGCAGATGATGCTTCACTAATGGAGATATGGAGCCATGGATGCCTGGGCTGCCTTAAGCTATAACTAGTGTTTTGTTTGTGCCACTGCCTGGTGTCTTTTACCATAACAGACTGTTTCCCTGGCCCAACTGTCTTAGTCAATGGTAGGGTGAGCATATGGAAACCCTGGAGCTGCAGAACCACTTGCCCTATTTTTTTTATTCAGTGTTTGACATGTGTCCTATCTGGTATGGACTTGGCAGGGTTGTGCAGTGCTGAGCTTGCTGTGATGTGCTGAGCTTGCTGTGATGTGCTCTCCTCTTACCTGTTGGCAGATGAAAGAAGTTCCTTTAACTGGTTAACTAGGAGCAGTATTGACCCACTGACAGACTATACAGTCTCCTCATCATTTGAGTCCTCATCTTCCTCCTTATTGTTTGCTCATCAGAAGAATGAAAAGTCACAGAGAACATCCTTGAAATTAGTGGGACCTGATTTTGGGAAAAAACGGCTGGGCCTTCCAGGTGATGAGATGGATAAAGAAGCAAAAGGTAAAGTAGGTTGCTAAAATGCATTTTAAATGACTATCCTCCAGTTGACCTCAGACACTTAGGTAAGGAAAGCACATTTCTTGCTGTTTTCATACATCATTGTCACCTTTACTAAATCTATTAAAATTTAATTCAGTAAATGTCTGGGCACATATTTATTGAAAGCCTAGTTTTAGGTATTCCAGAAAAGCTATTGACTAAATTGGACTCAGTTAGTGATTTTCTGGACCACTTGAGTGGTTAGGCCAATAGGATGGTAGTCATGAGATTAGACAGCATTAGCAAACCAAATCTGAAAGAGAGGGGAAGTTTAGGTAGAGAATGGAGAGAGTGTCAGGAGAAACCTTGTGGAGATCACCTCCAAGGCAGTATGGGGATTGATGTAAGAAAGGAGATGGTGAAAGAAAGACAAAGATAGTAAAGATTGGAGTATGTTTGGGAAGCGAAAGGGACTCAGATCAGTTAAGTGAACATTGATGGAGAGTGTACTGTGTAGCAAGGCCCACTAGAAGTCCAGTTACACATTGTGTGGGCAGATGCTCTGAACAAAGGTAAGGAACATTGAAGACAAGCTGAGGGTATGGTATGTGGTAAGCTGAATAACCCAGCAGAAAAGGACTGAGGATTCTACATGACCTCCTCGTGGGGGAGATTCATGTAGAAAACCCTATAGAATAAATACCTTAGGAGGAACTGGGGATGGGAGTCAAAGGAGCCTCGAGTAGGATGAATAGGTGAGTAACATGAGGAGTGAATTTGTGGGATCTGAGAGTGCTAACTGCAAAGTACTGGTAGAGCTTGGCAAACTCACAATTGAGAGTCTGCATCAAGGCAGCATGGAAGTAACTCATGAGAATCACAGCCTTGGGAGTGGGTGGTATAGCTCACAAAGAGAGTATGACTAGAAAAACAGTACTGTGATAGATTCCTGGAAAATGCCCAGTAAGTATATTTAGACTTCTAGAAAATTTATTTAGACATGTAGAAGTAAAATCAGGAGGGCAAATTACTTTTTATTTAGTTGTAGGAACTAAAACACACAAAATATTTTTCTTACTCTAGCCATTCTTTTTCATACTAATAAAAAATATTTTACATATATATATATATATTTTTTTTTTTTAAAGATTTATTTATTTCTGCATACAGGACTGGGGTACAGGCCAGAGGTGCAGGGGGTAAGAGGATTCACCATAGACAGAGTGGGGAGCAGAACAGGCAGATTGTGGAAGTACGCTGCTGAGGGGAGCAGCGGGTGGGCCAAGAGAGGTCTGCCACGCCAAGTGGTCACCTCCGGGGCAGGCGGGGATCGAACTCATGCGGAAATGGCTTAAGCTTCTTAGTGCTATACTTTAACCCGCTGTGTCACCAGGAAGGGCCTCTATGTATATATTGTTAAAGATTTATTTATGTATACAGAGCTGGGGTATAAGCCCAGCTTATACCCAGTGCATGGGTGGTGAGAGGACTCACCAAAGACAGAGTGGGGAGCAGAAAAGGATGACTGATGAAGTACACTGCTGGAGGGAGCAGCAGGCAGGTCGGAAGAGGTCTGCTGCACATGTGAGTCACCTCTGGGGCCGGGGATCGAACTTGTATTGAAGCAGCTGCGGCCATCTTACAGTGCTGTGTCCTAACCGATTGCACCACCAGGGAGGGCCCTCTTTTTCTTACTTTTAAGTCACAAGTCTAGCCAATACACAATTCTCTAAATTTAATTGAAGTAAATCTAGGCTTCCTTCTGCTCACACTTTTTGTTTGAAGAAGTGTTCAGAAACCCACTCCTACCCTGTCTTCCTCTGCACTGAGTGTTCTCCTCAGTCTTCTTTCTTTTATATTCTTCCTCTACTGTTTCTCCTTTAGCCTGTGATCCATCAAGAGGCATGGCTCTCTCTTTTTCCTGGATCTCTTTTTAAAGCAGTTAACTAATTTTTTTACACTGTTGTTAATTTTTTGACAATATTTGACATCTTCCTAGGGTGTAGTCCTCATAGAGTCCACCACCAGAGCACCTGTGATTCATCACCACAGTGCCTGTGTCCTTCTCTCCCATCTTTTTATCCTTTTCCCTCCTCTTCCCTTGCTGTGTGCTGCAAATCTACAGCCTGATTAGGTTTTGGGTTTTTTTCCTGATGTTTTGTTCAGTTTCTCTATATTCCATAATGTAAGTGAAACCATCCTTCTGACTTATTTTGCTTTACATAATCCCTTGTAGTTCCATCCTTGTTTCTGCAAATGGCATGAATTTAACTTTTTTGATCACTGAGCAGTATTCTATTATGTACATATACCACATTCCTCTATTTTGTGGCATTTATGTTGTTTCAATATCTTGGATATTGTATGTAGTGCTGCAATAAGCATAGGAGTACAGGTTTCCCCAGTGTTTTTTGTGTACTTTGGGTAGCTTCCTAGGAGTAGAATCATTGGGTCATATGATAAATCTATTTCTAGTGTTTTGAGGAATGTCTGCAAAGCTTTCAATAGTGTTTACATTCCCATCTGCATTGTAAGATGGTTCCCTTTTAACCACATCCTTGCCAGCATTTGTTGTTTTTAGAAAGCTTTGGCTATTTGGAGTTTTATATAATTTCAAATGAATTTCAGCACTATTTGTTCCATTTATTTGATGAATGGTATTGAGATTTTTACTGAAGTTGCTTTGAACCTGTAAATTACTTTTGGTAGGATGACCATTTTAATATTGTAAATTGTTCTTTCCATGAGCAGGTAATGTCTTTCCATTTCTTTGTGTCTTATTTCTTTTAGCAGTGTTTTATAATTTTCCTTGTATAGGGCTTTTACCTCCTTTGCTAAGTTGTCAGTACTTAATTTTTTTTGATACAGTTGTAAATAGGATGATTTTCTTCATTTCTTTTAAGACAGTTTGCGTAAAGGAAGATAGTGATTTTTGTGTATGATTTTGTAACCTACTTACTAAATTGGTTTACTGTTTTAATTAGTTTTTCTGTAGATTCTTAGGGTTCTTTCTTTATATTTATTACATTATCATCTGCAAGGAATAGTAGTTTTACTTCTTTCCCAATTAGGATTCCTTATATGTCTTTCTCCTCTAATTGCTCTAGCTAGGATTTTAAGTATTATATAGAAAAGCAGTGGTAAGAGTGGACATCCTTATCTTGTTTCAGATATTAATGGAAAAACTTTCAGTTTTTTCAACATTGGGAATGTTGTTAGCTGTGGGCTTGTTTTATATGGTCCATATTATGTAAAGATATGTTCCTTCTGGGCCCTCCATGGTGGTGCAACTCTGCAAGCTAGCTAGCAACTCTGCAAGGATACAGCTCTGCAAGCTAGTCACAGCCACTTCAGTGCAAGTTTAATCCCTGGCCCCAGAGGTGATCCATATGGCACGGCGGACCTCTCCTGACCCTCTAGCTGTTCCCATGAGCAGTGTACCTTGTTGATCTGTCTGTTCTGCTCCCCGCTCTGTCTCTGGTGAATCCTACCACCACCCCTGCACCCCTGGCCTGTGCCCCAGTTCTGTATGTATAAATAAATAAAAATCTAAAAAAAAAATAATAAAAACATATGTTCCTTCTATCACGAGTGTTTCAAGGGCCTTCATCATCAGTGGATGTGTAACTTTATTTAATGCTTTCTTAGTACCTATTGCTATGGTCACATGGTTTTTATATTTTTTTGTTTAGGTGGTGAATTATGTTAATTGATTTTACATCCAAGGAGGGCACTAAAAAGCATTTGGGATAGCTGCTAAGTGGGAAGAATGCATGTTAACTGGTCTCACCAATAGAAACTGAACTGGTCCTTGGTATTGAAATTCCTGATGTGTAGTTATCTTTATCTGAATTTTTATGCTTGTTGATTATCCAGAGAGCAAAATCTCCAATCTTTTGACTGCTAATACCCTGGAAGCCAGTATCCTGAATGCCAAATGAGAAGGCGGTAGCTGCAGCTTTCAGAAGTCCACATAATCACTGTAGTTTTGCCTCCAACTACGCCTTCCCGTTCCATTCACTGTCCCTTCAAACTGCTTTCAAACTGTATTTCTTGCTTAACCTCATTTCCCCTCCTCTGATTGTGCTCAGTGCCACCAGCCCCTGAGCCTTTCTGGTCTTTTTCACTATTGTTGCTTTGTTTCTATTCTCTGCACCATGACATTAGGGTTGGGTTATAGGAATTAGCACTTTCTGTTCTCTGACTTCGAAACTGTTCAGATACCTCTTCTGTTCTTCTTTCTGTAGGCTTACAGCCTTAACAAACAAAAACCATCTAAATAAAAGTAAAAAACAAGTTAAACAAACAGTCTCGCTTTTATTTAGGGAATTCTGCACAGGAGGGAAGGTCAACTCTAAATGTTATGTGACTGTCTATAATGAACATGATTTCTTTTTCAGGTATAGACAATCGGGCAGAAATACTAAGATTACGCAGGAGATTTTTAAAGGACCAAGAAAAACTCAGTTTGATATATGCCAGGAAAGGTCTTGTTGAACAAAAACGAGAGAAGGTTTGTATATTTTTCAAGAAATTGATTGGTCAGAAATGTCTATTTTATGTGGAGGGCTATTTTTTTTTTTATTTGTGCATTCAGAATTGGGGAACAGGCCAGAGGTTCAGGGGTGGTGAGAGGCTTCACCAGAGACAGAGTGGGGAGCAGAACAGGTAGATCGTCAAAGTACACTGCTGAGGGGAGCAGTGGGTGGGTCAGGAGAGGTCTGCTGTGCCATATAGATCACCTCCAGGGCAGGCAGGGATCGAACTCATGCAGAAGTGGCTTTAGCTTCTTAGTGCTGTGCTTTAACCTGCTGCGCCACCAGAGAGAGCCCTGGAGGAATAATTATTAAGAAATAAATGTCCTGTCAGATATTGGTTCTGATAATGGCCTGTAAATCAAAATGACAAAAGCAGCACTATATGAATTTAATGTATAGTGAAGCATGTGCATATATGGAGGTGTATATTTAACCCCCCAAATTATGTAATTATGCAAACAACTGAAAAATAAAAATAAACTTACATGTGAACCAAGTCCCTGTGACTACTGTAGATAATGGCTCTTGTGACTCACTAATGAAGCAAAGGAGCCTTGGAAAGGGGGACCAAATGGTGAGTAAAAAAAAAAAAAACCTGTTTTTGTTCTGACTTAATTTAAATTCTCAACAACTTAATTAACCTTCAAATCGAATGTGAGATGGATGAGTGGTTTCATTATATCTTCTGTGGGAAGAAAATATATCTTTCACCTTCCTCTTGTTCCAGTAACTACAACTATTCTTTTGAAGATTAGGTTCTAAAATTTGTGTGCAAAGTCATTCCACACTACTCCTTACTGGAGGTCTTTTTTTTCCTACTCAGAGAAGTAGGTATGAATGCTAATTAAATTTGAAATGTACTAGGCATGCTTGACGGAATAGATGTCGTCAGTAGAAGAAAGAGAGAAAACCAGAATTATTGAAAAAAATTGCAGGGAATATTTTGGCCCAGTACCAAAGTGTTTTAAATAATAAATGTAGGCCTGCTGTGAGGCAGTGCATTCCCAGATACAGGTATTTGAATCTCATTAGTAATGCATAGAGATAATCATATCTCAGAAGGCATCCTCCTATGGTTGATTATTTGCTGGAACCTCATACTCAATGTCAGGCACTATATGATACTGGTGGTATGGAAGTAAATGTAATGTAAGCACTCAAAGAGCAATAATCCAGTGTGTACAGCCAATAAATGAGTTATGGTTTTAACTTGTGCGGTGCTGGAAAATAACTAGGTGATAAGCATGTCTGTGAAAGAAGTGGTGAGGAAAACCTCTTTGAAGAGATATCTGAGGTGGAAAGCAAATGATGAGAAAACTGTGAACAGACATTCTGGGCAAATAAATGAGCAGGTCCCCACATCCCTGATAAGGGAAGGTCAAAGGTGACTACGTGATAGAGGATAGTTGGCTAAGTAAATGCTCATGGCTCAGAGGGAAATGGTATCATAGGAACTTTGGAGACTACCCTGGGCCAAGATTTGATATAGAGATTTTAATGTGAATTTATTATCTACTATAAACTGGCAAATCAGTGGCTAACCCATTTTGGATAAAAATTGTCACCCATTTACCTTTATGTTAAAGACAGTTACTGACAGTTTAATAGCTGATGGGGTGAGGTAGGGGTGTGAGTGGTTTCACCAGAGACTGAGTGGGGAGCAGAATAGGTAGATTAACTGAAATACAGTGCTAAGGGGAGCAGCAGGTGAGACAAGGTCAGCTCCCTGGCTGGCAGTTGAACTCCTGTTGCAGTGGCTGGCAGTAGCTTGACAGTGCAGAGACTTTTTTTAACTCCTGCACCAGCACCAGGGAGGCCCACCTCCCTTATTGTTTTACATGAAAATTCTAATCTCTCTTTGTTGGTTCTAATGATTATAGGAACTCAAGAGTGAATTAAAAATGAAGCATGATGCACAGGTTATTTTGTACAGAAGTTACCGTCAAGGAGACCTTCCCGACATTCAGATTAAATACAGCAGTCTGATCACACCCTTGCAAGCTGTGGCCCAGGTTTGTCCATGAATGCTGCATTTTCTTTTGATACATTAAAATCTGTTGAACAGTTCCAGGGGTCTATTCAATACAAAGGGATATGGTTGAAGGCCACACTGCATCATAAATGACATATTACTTTGTCCTAAACGGTGGTCTTGGTTGGAAGACCTTGTTCCAGGTCCTGGCTGCTATTTCCCATCTTTGAGGATGTCTTTTATATGCCAAGCTGGACTTGAGAGTCATCTGGAAGATGATCCTGCAGCTGGGCTTTTTGTCAAGTTGTTAGCACTCTTACTCTATAGTTTCTCACTCTATAAAATCAGATATTGAAATATATTTTTCTTGCTAATAATGTTGGTGAGGATAAAGTAATATATTAAAAAATTCATTATGCTAAGCCAGTTCTTTTAAAGGGGTGGGAGAATCAGGAGACTATCAGCTTATCAGTGGGATCAATATTCTGCTTAGTTAATTCTCTTAATAATAGAGGACCAAAAAAAAGGTAATTTCTGAGCCAATAAAGAATAAAATTATTGAGAATGAATGAGATGTTCTAGCTGAATTCTTTTTTTTTTTTAATTTTATAATAGTTTATTTTTACATATTTTTTATGCATTTTTCCATCTCAGTTCCAATCCCCTGGGGTTTCCCATCACCAAATCACCCATGTGTCATCACCATAGTCCAGTGCCTTTCCCTCCCCCGACTGTTTTTGATCCCATTCCCCACTCCACCCCCACAAAATGTCTCTGGTATGTAGCTGTTCATCATTATCATTATTTTCTTGTCTGTTCCGTTATACTCCTGCTATGAGAGAAACCATCTGGTATTTTTCCTTTTCTTTTTGGCTTATTTCACTAAGCATGATCTTTTCCAGTTCCATCCATGTTGCTGCAAAAGACATGTGTTTCTTTTTTTTTTTTTTTGGTTGCTGAGTAATATTCCATTGTGTATATGTACCACATCTTTTTTTTTTTTTAAAGATTTTTTTTATTTTTATTTATTTGTACAGAACTGGGGTACAGGCCGGAGATGCGGAGGGTGAGAGGGTTCACCAGAGACAGAGTGGGGTACAGAACAGGCAGATAGACGAAGTACACTGCTGAGGGGAGCAGCGGGTGGATCAGGAGAGGTCTGCCACGCCATGTGGTCACCTCCAGGGCAGGCGGGGATCAAACTCATGCAGAAATGGTTTAAGCTTCTTTGTGCTGTGCTTTAACCTGCTGCGCCACCACATGTACCACATGTGGTCCTATGTACCACACCTTTTTAATCCAGTCATCCATTTTTGGGCATTTGGGCTGTTTCTATGTCTTTCCGCTAGCTGAATTCTTTTGATGAAAACAGATAAAAACCTGATTAAGATTCCTTTGACTTTTATTGAAATAATTTTTATATTGGAGAATGTTTTATATATACATGTATATCAAATTATTCCAGACTCTGAAATACAATGCCTTAAATATTTTTTTTTCCTCACAGCATTTTTATTGATTTGATGACACTATTATCCTCCCCAAAGACCAATTACAACCAAATGAAGTAAACATTAATTCAGTGTTTTATTATCTTCATAGTAAAAGATGATGCTTAGAACTGGATCACCTGGCCCTTTCTCTTCTTATCTCCTCCCAGCTCAAAATGCTTGCATCTCTTAATAGCCAACATCCTCTTGGATCTGCAGTTGAGCTCAACGCATTCAAGTCGCAGCACAATCTTCTTTGTAGTTTTAGCCTTTTTCCAGAAAATTGGCTTTGTCTGTCCACCATAGTCACTCTGCTTCCTGTCATACCACCGCTTTTCCTGGGCATAAAGGGAATCCTTGCCCTTCTTGTACTGTCACTTTGTGGGGCTGATGCTTGCCACACTTCTTACAGAAGGTCCGGCGGGTTTTAGGAACGTTCACCATGCTTGCAAGAGCTCTAGCGGCACGGAAAGCAATGCCTTAAATATTTTTAAAGACTTATTTATTTATGCATACAGAACTGGTACAGGCCAGAGGTACAGGTTGGGGTGAAAGGATTCACCAAAGACAGAGTGGAGAACAGAACAGGCAGATTGATGAAGTATATTGCTGAGGGGAGCAGCAGGTGAGACAGAGAGGTCTGTGTAATGTGGGTCACCTCCCTGCCTGGGGATCGAACTCTTGCTGCAGTGGCTATGGATAACTTCTAGTGCTTCACAGTGGCTAGTTGCTTCGCTTTAATTTGTTGTACTACCAGGGAGGGCCCAATTCCTTATATTTTATTGTAGTTAAGTACCTACTACTAATACTGATTATAGTAATAGATATTATATCTGCATGTCCCTTTACTGTTGTTTATAAGCTTCTTATTTACTCTCAATAACGTTCCTATAAATTTACAATAGTACATAGTACACAGAATCCTTCACCTAGCTCTCTCAATGGTGATAGCTTACAAAACTGAAGTATATTATGAAGACTAGAAATTGGCATTGGTACTTAAGTAGATTGGTGTTAAGTAGATTGCAGATGTAATTTCATTTCCCCCTGCATTCGTGTATGTTTGTGTGTGTGTGTGTAAGCATATATGTGTTAGATATATATGTGATTCTTTGCTGTTTTATCCCATTTGTAGATTCATGTAGCTGTTGTTATAATATATCCCTTGGTTATTCTGGAGTGCTTTCCTTTCCTCACAATAAATTCTCCCAATAGTTTTTTGACATTAATGCAGTTATTAGTCATATTTAAGATCATGACTGGAAAGTTAGCAAAGAATGGATAATATAACTATTCTTCTTTTTTTTAAAGATTGATTTATTTATGCATACAGAATTGGAGTACAGGACAGAGGTGTGGGGGTTGAGAGGATTCACTGAAGACAGAGTGGGGAACAGAACAGACAGCTCTACTGAAATAACACTGCTGAGTTGAGCAGCCAGTGAGTCAGGAGAGATCTGCCGCTCCATATGGCTCACCTCTGGGGCAGGGATCAAACTCATGCTGAAGTGGCTTTAGCTTCTTAGTGCTGTGCGTATCCTGCTACACCACCAGGGAGGACCCATTTTAAGACAAGGGATTAGCCCAGAATCACTGAAGAGCTAAATTAAATTGTGTGATCATGTATGTGATTAAGTCAGCTTTTAAATTTATATCCCTGGGTCTGAGGTCCATGACCAAGTCCATCATTGTCATGTGAATTTACAACATGTGTCAAATTGATATATTTGATTAAGTTCCACATATTTCCCTTGTCACTGCCTGTTTTAACTTTCTAACTAGAATAGAAATGTGTAGTAGGTATGTATGCTATAATTTGTATTTTCAGATTGCACTGGTGAATTATAACACCTTTTCGTCAGATCCTAATGTATCCTTGTTTTGAATGTTTTACAGAGAGATCCCATAATTGCAAAACAACTCTTTGGTAGCTTATTTTCTGGAATTATAAAAGAGATGGATAAATATAAGACCACGTCTGAAAAAGAGAACATTACTCAAAAGTTGCTCCAGGACTTCAATTACTTTCTTAACACCAGTTTTTCTTTCTTTCCCCCTTTTGTTGCTTGTATCCAGGTAAAAGTCCAACATACACTTCATAAAATATGCATTGTCTGCTTTGCTTTCTCATAACTGTATCATAGTAACATCATTTATTTTGCATGCTCACAAACCAAGTGTTTAACATAGAAGATGTGCTCTGTTTGTGTTACCTCTTCCCCAGATGAGTAGACATAATTTGTTTTGCTTTTTTAAAGTCATATTATATGAGAGAATAATCAGAAATCAAGCATGGTATAAAAGTGTTACGTTTTTTTTTTTTTTTAAAGATTTATTTATTTGTACATACAGAACTGGGGTACAGGCCAGAGGCTCAGGGGCGGTGAGAGGATTCACCAGAGACAGTGGGGAGCAGAACAGGCAGATCGATGAAGCACACTGCTGAGGGGAGCAGCGGGTGGGCCAGGAGAGGTCTGCCATGCCATGTGGCCACCTCCCAGGCAGGCGGGAATCGAACTCATGTGGAAGTGGCTTTAGCTTCACAGTGCAGTGCTTTAACCCACTGTGCCACCAGGGAGGGCCAAAAGTGTTATGTTTTTTAATGAGGCCATCCCATCACTTTTGACTAAACCCTGCTTGTTGTTTAGTTGTTTTTCCTCATTCCTGTCTCCTGTCTTCGAAATATCTTGATTTTGAGCACATGCCCAACTATTCTAAATGATGGAGACATGGTAAATAAGAGACACAAATCCCTGACCTAGAACTTACTTGCTAGATGGGTAATATAAAGATAAAGTACTAAGTGTCACAGCACTTAAGTAATTCAGGAGTGCTAAAGTAATATAAGATAGTAATGAAGTGGACACATAGACCCTTCTCTATTAAAATGGGTATATGTCCCTTTATTAATACTTAGATAGACTGGTCAGAGAAGGCCTTCCTATAGCAATACAGTTTGAGCAGAGAACTTAATGTAGGCATTCTTTCAGTTAATACTTAACACACACTTCTAGAAAGATTACTTTTTCATGTAAAAAATTTTCCTTTGCCATTCAATGCATGGATTTACTACATTCTAATAGAAAATCTTCTCAACTCATTTTATTATTTTTTAACTAGTAATCACTCTGGAGTAGTTAAGTTTATGTTCTTTAATCATATTTAGTAGTAGCTTTGGTTTGCAACAGTTTGAATTAGATAATAATTCCCAGAGATGAAATAGTTAGCTTTCCCATGTTGTTCTTTTTATGTAAAATGAAACTATTGATAGTTTTTTATAACTTTTATGTATCTTTATCTATTTATATATAATCATTCACATAGACATTTACTTGTTCTTTTTACATGTTAATCCCCCCCTTACTTAGTTTGATAATTTGCAAATTGAATTCTTTCATTGTTTCTTCCTAGCAAAACTAAAGTTTAGTTAAGAAACAGTCTTGAATCATCTAGTATTTCAAAATGAGTTTCTCTTTACATTGTATTCTGTAGTGATTTTTAAAATCTGAATTCATAGTTTTGACCCCTTATTTAAAAAAACTTTTTTTCCATTTTTGTCTAGGTGAATCATTAAGTAAATAAACTTAAAGTAAATAAACAACTTCTGTTAGCCCTGGAGCTGCTGTTTGGCTGTGGTCATGGAAAAAGCAACATGAATGCTACTCAGTGCCTTAGCTTTTTGCAGCTTTTCATATTGTGTTTTCTGTTTGTGGTTAATATCTGAAACTACAATCTGTTTTCTCTGTCCAGGCTTCATAGTGTGTTGGGCAGGGCAATCCTGTGAGTTCTTTTTCTTCAAGGTCAACACTCACTTTGAGATATCACTGCCCCTCAAGGGCTTCTCAAAATGAATTCTTGTCTGCAAGATACTCTGTTTTTGTCAGACTATCCCAACATTATCCTGCCATACAGATATGAATTTAGCACGCTTTACTTTATGCTCTTCATGGGAGAGGCTGGTGTGGTTGTGGGGTGGGGGTAATGGCTTTTCCAGATGTCTGCATATATGAGCTTACATATCCATATCCATATCCATAAGATCTTGTGTGTACATATAAGTTTGTTTTAATGTAAATGCTTTTTTAAACTACATTGTTCTCCATATTGAGTTGGGATTTATTTTTCAGTATGTTGACATATGTGAGACTCAAATTGATAGCTACAAAGTAAAGTTCAGTATAATAATTCCTGAAATCCTCTATTCAATATTATTGAATAAGTTAGCCCCTGATAAAAAGAGGTGGAAGATATTCAATAGGATAATGAGGAGAGGTATATTACTTGTATTTTGTGATTGAATATGAAATCTTTGCGTTTCTCATCCATTCGAACTAAAGATTCCTGCAAACTGCATTTGTTTAAATATATAAAACATTTGAAAATCTTCATATTGTGCTAGTAGTTTTCTTGCTTTAAATTAATTTCTGGATTGGAAGTATTAAAATAAAGGTTGTTTCCTCCTTTGAGCAAAGAATGTTCAAGAATGTTTGTTAATGTAATTACACACAAAATATTCTGGTTATATCACTACTTACGTCAAAACTTTCTTTTATGTTTAGTGAAGCAATTTATTCACTTGTGAAGTTACAGTCAAAGTACCACAGGCTAAATAACTACATCTGTCTGTGGTTTCTCAGGAAATCAGTTGCCAACATACTGGCTTACTGAGCCTGGACCCAGCCTCTGTCAGTGTGGGCTGCCTGTCAAGCCGGCAGCAACCCGTGGGTATCCGCCTGCTTGAGGAAGCGCTGCTGCGCCTGGGGCCTCAGGAGCCACCTGCCAAGCGATTTCGGAGGAAACACCACTTCACTCCTGATGTCGCCAGATGGATGGAACTTGCTAAGTAAGTTCTGTAATACAGACTGTTGAGAAAACAGTAAACTTGACCAAAACCACAAACAAAAAGTTTGCTTTTATTTTTGCCAGAAATGAACTAATGAAGTTGATAGTACACTTCTGAAACTTTTTTGAAAAATCTTTCAAAGTGACTACTAGTCTATGAGCCAGGAATAGTTGTTAGGATAAGACATGTCTTGTTCAAAGAAAAGAACTTTAATTCAACCTATTAATTTATTTTTATTCACAACCTTTTCAAACTCTCAGAGAGCTCACCATTTCCTAGCCCATATTAGGTTTAGTTGTACAACTGAAGGCCTATATTTCCTGCTGGAATGCTAGTATTGTGTGTGAGATCTAATTTATATTTTAATTCTTCTCAGCACCCAACACAGCATCTTAATCACTCATAGTACTCAATTAAAATAAAAGCTGGGAATGCTTATAAAACAGTGAAAAGTATTAAAGTCACCACTCTTAGTTTACTCTTTTCCCCAAGATCTAAACCCAAAAGATCTAAAAGTCAGTGCCATAAAACAGATGTTAAAATTAATTTTTTAGAAAATACCTTATTGGAGTGCAATTGGTTTATATCACTATTAGTATTTTGGAGATATAGGATCTCCCCCTTCAGGTGTAGTCATCATAGGATACTTAACACTAAAACACCCACAGTTCTCCACCACAGTCCATTGTGCTATCTTGACATTTTCTTCTAGTCCCTTCCATTCCCCCGCCCTTCTGTTAGTCTCAGTTCTATGGTCAGCATGTAAGGGTTGGTCTAAAAGTTTGTCTTTGACATTTTATTTTGTTTCTTTACATTCCAAATCTTAAGTGACACCATCTGGTATTTATAATTCTCCTCTGATTTATTTCACTTAGCATATCTTTTCTAGTTCCAGCCATGTTTCCACAAATGGCACGTGTTTATTGACTGCAGTTGACTCGTATATATATTGCATCCTGATCCACTCATCTGTTCGGGAGCATTTAGTTTGTTTTCATATTTTATTATTGTAAACAGTGCTGCAATAAACATAGAAGCTTAGTTTCCTTCAAATTAGTGTTTTTGAATTTTCCAGGTGATTACCTAGGATGGGTACAGTATTCTGTGATGTAGTATTCTCCTGAGCATTATGTGACTCTTTATTATGTTTTTCCATTCTCCCATTCAAAGCTTTTAGGGCCAAACTGTTGTGGGTAGGGTTTTACTAGGTGTAGCTCTGTTCCCTGCTGTGGTCCCTGCATCTGGATCTTTACCCATGGATCTGGGCCTCTCTGATATTCAGCAGTACTTGGCTGGGGGCTTGCTCCACCTCTCTTGTGCTTGTCTATACTGGACTGGATTTTGCTTGTGCCTGATGGGTATTTGGGCGTTGGTATGGGGCTCCTGCTTATTATCCAAATTAAATTCTGTCCTAGTCTAATATCCTTTGCAGAATTAGATACTAGCTTTATAGACAAGGACTTTTTTTTTAACCAAGTTTAGTTTCCTGTAAAATGGGGCTATAACCTTAGTATTTTATATTTTTGCTATTCTGCTGCACTGAATAGAGGATGATTAATTGATTTCAGAAAGATTAAGGCTTTTGGAATCTATTTGATCCAATCACTTTGCTCCTTTGGAAGAACAAATTCTGTTTTGTATTTAATGCCTTTTACCTTATTTAATTCCTCCCTTATCTGAGGTTTCTTCCTAAAGACCCATGTTTCAGTGTATGAGTTAACGGTAAGACTGTGCATTTAGTATTTTCAGAGAGTGAAAAACTTATGTAATGCGTTTTTGCTGATTAAATGCAGTAAACAAGTTTAAGAGCTTAAAGTTTAAACATTTTGTACAAACTTGAATACATCCTTATACTTCTGTATATATTTTTGCATTACCTTCACACAGAGTGTTGAGAACATCATTTAGACTGTTCGTCCACTGTCATAGTTTATATTCTTACCATGTTGTAGTCTTAATAATCCGGGGAGCTGGTGGGGGCAGTATATGGTACATGTAAAACGAATCTCTTTTCTGAGTTTCTGGAACATGTTCTCATCTCTTCTGGGGCTATTGGGCTGTGAGCTGCTGTCTCCCACCTTCCCACCTTTGTCTGTGATTCATTACTTTTAACCTTTTATGTGAAGGCAAATAGCAGAGTCTTATGTATTAGATTTTTACTACATTTGGTGTGAAAGAGAGCCCACAGAACTCTTTTTATAGGCATGCATCAGTTTTTAGACCAGGAAGTCACTGAACTTTGGGAAAACCAAGGAGTAAGGATCCCTTAGTTCGCTGGTCAGATGATTTCAGGTTTAGGAAGAGATTTGTATTGAGATTTAAATGATGGAAATAAACTTTTCAATGAAAGGGAGCAAACCTATTGAATACTTAAAGGAGGAAATTTGGTTGATGGCATCAAATAGGTATTTGTTAATGTGAAGAGATGAATGAAGGCTATTGCACATCTTAAGACTAAAAAGTTGAAGCCAGCCTATCAGCTAATTTATCTAAATGAGTTAAATTCACACAGCATATTTCTGAGCATAAAAACATCAACAAACTTCTCAATACAGATCCCAAACACTTCTAATATTATAATAATAATAATAAGTTAAGAAATTGCTTGTTAAAAAATGAGATGGTCCATAAAATATGAGCCAAAATAGGCATAAGAACGGGATTAATTTTTCTTGGGTTTGGGTTCTTGACTGAATTCCAAATTTTGGTGCTAGACAAGTATTCCTGTTAGTTCACTAGTAGTTATGTGCTATGTAAATATAATGGATTAACACAGAAGAACTTATTTAATGAAACAACCCTATGGCATTTTTCGATTTCACTTTAGAACAATTCAGAATTCACTTTAGAATAATGTCTGCCATCTGTTTTACTAACGTAACTTCAAACACTTTTAAATTTCTACAAAAATATTTTTAGTTAATATGTGATATGTTGATATTAATTTCTTTAGAATAAATACCTTAAAACTATCACTACTCATTAATTTGGACTTTGGACTTTATTTTATAGATTGTATAGATCAATTGGAGAATATGATGTCCTTCATGGTATTTTTAGCAGTGAAATAGGAACAAAGCAAATCACTCAGAATGCATTATTATCAGAAGCAAGAAGTGATTATTCTGAAGCTGCTAAGCAGTATAATGAGGTAAAATTGATCTCTATCAAATATGTCAGCTGCCTAAAAACTTGTTCTGTGAATGAAAAAATTGTTAACTTTCTTCATTCAGTGTTACTCTCTTTCCTCTGCCCCTTTTTTTCCCCTTATCATAATGCTAAAAATAGTTGAACTTAGTATGTATGTTACATTACATACAATATAAATGTTTCTCTTTAATTCTTTCCAACTTTGAAAAATAATCATAGGAATTTCTCTCTGTCAGGCTCTCAACAAACATGAGTGGATCGATGGTGAACCTACGGAAGCTGAAAAAGATTTTTGGGAACTTGCATCCCTTGACTGTTACAACTACCTAGCTGAGTGGGAATCACTGGCTTATTGTTCTACAGTCAGTGTTGACAGTGAGAGTCCTCCAGATCTAAATAAAATCTGGAGTGAATCATTTTATCAGGTGGGTAGAATTATTTTTGAGGTCACTGAAATGCATATTTTCTAATCAATGTTGTTTAAAACTTTAAAAAAAACAAGGTAATGACAGTTTATGGGGGTGGAGTAGGGAGTGGGATCAAAAATTGTGAGGGAAGTGCATGATGCTATGGTGATGGCATATGGGTGAATTGGTGATGGGAAGTCCACGGGAGTTACAGCCGAGATGGAAAAAGGCACAAAGGGATGTAAAAATAAATTAATATAGTAATAATAAAAAAGCAAGGAGTTATGAATCATTAGAATATTAATGACTCCCCCCAAACTCTGTAGTAGTTTTAAATCGCTTATGCTTTCAGTAAGTGTTTTTTATTCTAACCTTTTCAAAATAAATTGAGTAATTTGAAAGTACCATTAGCATCCCTAGTATGACTACATGGAAGAATGCTTCCTATTGGCCCTGCACTGGATTATGGGCTATACATGGTCTTGCCCTATGTCCTTGAGTGAATCTGCACCCTAACAAAAGTCATCCCAACTCCTTGAATAAGACTACTTCTCTCACACATTTCACCTCACTTCCTGGTCCCTCTCACACTTCTGCTCTCTTGGCTATGGTCAGAGAATCCTCATTTGTTAAGTAACAACCAATTGTCTTTCAACTAAAAGTAGTTTCTGTTTTCTGTAGGGTAAGCTCCTATATATTTTGTGATTATAGAATGAGCCATTTTAGATAGATTTGTTTTGAACATGGTGATTTTAGGTTTGGAACACCAAATATTATATGACTCAAATCATTACCTATAAAATTATGACAAAGAATATTATAATAAAATAAGTAGGCATACTTAGTCTTTCTTAAGTTGTAAGTAGATTTTTTTATTTCTTAGGAGACCTATTTACCTTACATGATCCGCAGCAAGTTGAAGTTACTGCTCCAAGGAGAGGGTGATCAGTCTTTGCTGACGTTTATTGATGAAGCTGTGAACAAGGATATACAGAAGGCAATTATTGAATTACATTACAGTCAGGAATTGAGTCTCCTTTATATTTTACAAGATGATGTTGATAGAGCCAAATATTATGTTGATAAGTGCATTGACGTTTTCATGCAGGTAATACATTTGAAATGAGCCATTTCTATGATGATGTTTAAAATTAATAAACTTATGTACAAAAAATCAACAAGCAAAAGTTTTCGCTCACTATGTGATAAATACAACCACCATTTTCTTCTTTCTGTTTGTCTAGTATCTTCCAGTATCTCTCTTCACTCTATCCTTTATGTTACTGTTATATTCCTTTTCCCCCCTCTTCTAAAGAATACAGTTTTTGTTGGTTGGTTGTTTTTTCCCTAGCATTTATTTTTTTCTCACACTCTCAAAGAATACTTGGGAGTAGAATTTTCCATTTACAGTAGCTTTATAAAACCTTTGGTCACTTGTAGAGAAGAATATGAACTAATCTTCCCTATTTATTTTCTGCCATTATGACTCTTTACTTTTTCGCTTTTCTGACTCTTCTGATGTTTGTTTTTAAAGTCAGTATCTGTTGACAAAATTTATCTTTGGCATATGTTAAAGCATTCTCATTCATTGCCTTTAATTTTGAAGCACTTATGAAACTGACTAATACACTCAGGAGGAAGTTTTTCAAGAAGGAAGAATTGACTTCTGCAACTGGCAATTTTTAAATTGGTGTCAAATAGAAGCAATAATAAATTATATTGATTTTGTTGATTTCATTGAACCAAAATGTGAAAAACCTAATTTTTAACCACACTGAGGCACAATGTATAGTTGGTATATTTGCAGCTAGTTATTGTATTTTAGAGAACTAAGTTAAAATTTATAAGAGTAAATTGGTTTATAAACAATGTCAAATGCCTTTTCTTCTAGAATTATTCTAGTATTGATGTCCTTTTACACAAAAGTAGACTCACCAAATTGCAGTCTGTACAAACTTTAATAGAAATTCAAGAGTTCATCAACTTTATAGGCAAAGAAGGTAATTTTTTTAACTTAACCTTTTTTTCCTTTATAATTATGGAAGCATGTTAACATTTGAAAGTGCTTGTTTCTTAATATGGGTTGGAAAATGTATTGAATTCATTCTACATGTGTATATATTTGATGTCACTGAAATAAATATTTTCGATGACTAAGCATACTATTCCGGGCACTGGGGATGCAAGACAAATCATATTGCCTAGTTTGAAGTAATTCTCAAAATGGTAGAGTGACCCCTATCAGATCTACAGCCTGCTGAGACAGAGGGTTTTACATAATTCATGGGAAATAGAAGACAGTACTCACTGGACTTAACAGAGGTTTCTAGAGGATGGGTCTGAATTGGATGGAGGATGCTTGCAGAGTGCCAGCCCAACAGGAAGTCTTCTGTGTTTCCTGATGACCAATTCTGTTGCTCTGGCTTGAAAGGAAGGGAGGCTGTGATGGCAGTGCTCACAAAGTGAAAGTCTTTCTGTTACCATTTTATCCTAGTACCAATGGGTAGCCACTAGTGTCTCAGGGAAAGAGTATATCTTTTCAGTGATCACATACCTTAATTGTAGATCTGCTTTTCAAATTTTGTACTAAATTAACAATAATTATGCTAGAAACTTTTAAGAGTACCAATAAAACTTGGTGTTAGTATCTATCAATATAATTGTTCTATATTTTAAATTAGAATTATTTTTCAATTATTTATTATTAGTGATATATAGTTAAGTGCAGTCTTCTTTACAGGAGCTATGGTCTCTATTTTTTCACATTTATCAGGTTTTTAAATAGTCTTATGAATAGATTACTCATTTTACAGAGACTTAGAGAAATTAAATAACATGCCTAAGTTAATATGTGAAAGATTTAGATTTTTAAACCCCTATTATGTTGTTTAAGCTTGTGTTTTTAACCACTGCTTTCATCAACAGAAAGAAATAAAGCTGAAACATTAAACACTAGCTATATGAATTTTAAATTTCTTGAGGATTATTGAGTCTATTTTTTCACAATCCTTGAGGCCAGATTGTTTATATTTTAATACCTATGTTACCTTGTGCACATACCAGGGCCTCAGGCAGTATTCCATAGTTAAAAACCATAAGTGAATTTCCTGTTCTAGTGGTATTCACATGAATGGTAGAAACAAAGATGACAAGTAGGTCTATGCTAATCAAATCATATTTTGCTATTTAAACAGTTGGCTGCAATCCTATGAAAAAAAACTCAGTTTCCAGTGATTTTGGAATTGTGGGTTAAAGGTTGTAGACCTGCCTGTACTATATGTAAAAGTTGTATGTATTTATTTCCTCATCTTTATAGCCTTAAATAAATGAGCTGAATGTCAGAATGTATTATATTGTGCTGTAAAGGAAGAAACAGTTTAATTTGGATAAGGGATTTGAATTGTTTCTACTTACTAAGGGTGTTCTAAGTTTGGAAGTTGATCTTATCTTTAAATTGTGAAGTTAGTGATCCTCTAACATTACTTTTAGGTAATTTGTCATCTCAAGTACCCCTTAAAAGACTTCTGAATACATGGACAAACAGATACCCAGATGCTAAAATGGACCCAATGAACATCTGGGATGATATCATCACTAATAGGTAAGATGTGATCCTTTTGAGTTAAATATCCATTCTTCTGAAACTGCCAGAAAGACTTATCTTCCAATTATGGTTTAGAAAATCTGGATTTTGAATCTAGTGTAGATATCATTCAACTTGCCAGTTCCCCACTGTTCTAACAAAATTCTCCATGTTAGCAGTCTACCTCTTGTCCCCAATTGTCCCCTGTGAGGAATTGCGGCCCACTCACTTGGATTCATCTTGATCATGAACATGTTGTCACAGTGAGAGAAGGCAGTAGTGAAGTGGAGGCAGCAACCATCTGTTATATCTCAGAGCTAAGTGTTAGGTAGTAAACTGGCAGCAAAGAACATACGCTTAATGATTTATTCTTCTCTTACTATAATTTGGATTTTGGACACTCCGGCCTCCTGTGTCCCAACTCAGTTGCATAATTGTATATATCATGTTTCAGGTCTGAGATCATTTTCATATTCTTTTCTCTTTCTCGCCTTAACCCTCATAATGGAGAAGGCCTATGTAATCATTTATTTCGGAGAAGCAATAGAATCAGAGAGGTTGTGAATTATTTTGTGCAAATATGCTCAATAAATAGGACTCATAGACTGTGACTGCTTGTGTGGTATTGTTTCCATTATATGCTATTTATCTGTAGGTTTCTTTAAATTTAATTTTTATACTTTTTTTTTTAAAGATTTATTTATTCATTCAGAACTGGGGTACAGGCCAGAGATGCGGAGGGTGAGAGGATTCACCAGGGACGGAGTGGGGAGCAGAACAGGCAGATCGACGAAGTACACTGCTGAGAGGAGCAGCAGGCGGGTCAGGAGAGGTCTTCTGCGCCATGTGGATCTCCTCCGGGGCAGGCCGGGATCGAACTCATGCGGAAGTGGCTTAGGCTTCTTAGTGCTGTGCTTTAAGCCCCTGCGCCACCAGGGATGGCCCATAACTTTTATACTTTTTTATACTGCTTTTTATGTTCTATTTTGAACTAAATTTTTATTTATAGAAAAATTGCCAGAAATATAGAAGTCTCTTGTGTACCTTTCACCCAGTTAACCTTTTGACAGACTGCCATATTAACTTTTTTCTCTGCTTCCACACATTTATTTCCTAAACCACTTTAGCATAAGTTGCATACATACATATTTTTCTTTATCACTGTACATATCTTAAGGAAAAGAAAATCTCTTATTTAACTGTAGAATAACAACTTTGCTGTTTTCACTTTTTTTTTAAAATTTTTTAAAAAGATTTATTCATACAGAACTGGGGTACAGGCCAGAGATGTGGGGGGTGAGAGGATTCACCAGGGACAGGGTGGGGAGCAGAACAGGCAGATCTGTGAAATACACTGCTGAGGGGAGCAGCGGGTGGGTCAGGAGAGGTCTGCTGCGCCACGTGGTCACCTCTGGCAGGCGGGCATCGAACTCATGTGGAAGTGGCGTAAGCCCCATAGTGCAGTGCTTTAACCCGCTGTGTCGCTGTGTCACTTTTTTTTTTTTAAAGATTTTTATTTATGCATGCAGAATTGGGGTATAGGCCAGAAGTACAGGGGCAGTGAGAGGATTCACCAGAGACAGTGGGGAGAAGCACAGGCCGACTGATGAAGATCACTGCTGAGGGTAGCAGCGGGCTGGCCAGGAGAGGTTTGCCGTGCCATGTAGATCACCTCTGGGGCAGGCGGGGATTGAACTCAGGGTGAAGTGTCTTTAGCTTCTAGTGCTGTGTTTTAACCCACTGTGCCACCAGGGAGGGCCGCTGTTTTCACTTTTAATCTATAGCCCTAATTTCATTTTTTTTGAATATTTATTTTATTTATACATACAAACTAGGGTACAGGCCAGAGTGCAGGGGATGAGGGGCTTCACCAGAGACAGAGTGGGGAACAGAATAGGCAGATTGAAGTACACTGTTGAGGGGAGCAGCAGGCAGGTCAGGAGAGATCTGCTGCACCATGTGGGTCACCCCCCCTGGCCAGGGATCAAACTGGGTATGCAGTGACTGCAATAGCTTCATACTGCTGCCCTTTAACCCATTGTGCCACCAGGGAGGGCCCCCAATTTCATTTTTATTAGTTTCCCTTTAATGTTCATAAAAACTTTTTCTCCTTGTAAGACAGGATCTAGTTTAGAGTCATATACTGCCTTTAATTGATATCTTTTCAATCTCCTTTAATCTGGGACAGTTCTTCAGTCACTTTTCCTGACATTGACACTTTTGAGGAATTTTCTCAGCTTGGATTTATTTATATACCCTCATGATTAGGTTGATTGATTGACACATCCTTAGACAAGTCTTAAGTTTTCTTCCCAGAGTATCATGTCTGTAGCAGAGTTGTCTGTCTGCTTTTTGCTGATGATAACAACTTTGCCTGGTTAAAATACTGTCTGATGTTTCTAGTATATAATGTTCCTGTTTTTTCTTTTTCTTTTGGCAACTAACAAGTAATTTGGGACATGCTTTGAGACATGACTATATCCTATATCTCATGAGACTTATCCTCTGTGTATCTCTGAATGACTTTTGGCCCAAACTAGTATTGACAATAGCGGTTGTTGTTAAGGTATGGATTTTTAGCTCAAACATGTCTTCTATATCAGTCTACATTTTATTGTAAAGAAGTCCCTTCCTTACACCCTGAACCTACTTGTTTTCTTATTACTTAAATTTTATTTCCTAACAGAGATTCATGTATTTCAATTTAATTTGATGGAATATAATCCATTGTTGTTCTTATTTATTTCGTGTTCAAATTGTCTCACATTTGGTTAGTGAGAGTTCTTTCAAGCTGATTCTCTAGGTTCATCTTACACAATTATTCTTTTTCTTCTAGAAATTTTACCATTTTAATTTTTACATTTACATCTATGATCCTATGGATGATACCTTTGTAGATGGTGTTTGTGGTATGCCAGTTTTCCATATCTACTTATCTAATTGCCATTTGTTTAAAAATCTTATGGAATTGAACTACCTGAATTTCATATTTTGATTGAATTATGAATTTTATAATTAAGTTGACTTCTTTTTTAAAAAACCAATGACCAGCCCTCCCTAGTGGCGCAGCGGGTTAAAGCACAGCACTGAGAAGCTTAAGCCACTTCCGCATGAGTTCGATCCCCGCCTGCCCTGGAGGAGATCCACATGCCGTGGCAGACCTCTCCTGACCCGCCCACTGCTCCCCTCAGCAGTGTACTTCGTTGATCTGCCTGTTCTGCTCCCTGCTCTGTCTCTGGTGAATCCTCTCACCCTCCACATCTCTGGTCTGTACCCCAGTTCTGTGTGAATAAATAAATAAATCTTTAAAAAAAAAAAAACAATGACCACAGGTTTGTAAGGATAGAAACATTTTTGAATGCTTTCTTCTGTTCCTTGATTTATCTCTTTTCATAGTATCAAATGTCTTCATACTGTTGCTTTATAGTAAGTCTTGAGACTTACTATAATGACATTTTTAATGAATGTCTTTTTTTAGGTTACTTTGATTTAAACATGTATTATAGAATCTTATTATCAATTTCTACCTCCCCAACAAAAACAAAACCTGAATTTTATTGGAATTTCTAAAAACTTTTTATTTTTTTTTACATCATTCTTCCTTTTGTGCATTTTTTCATCTCAGTTGCAATCCCCATGGGTTTCCCACCAACAATTCACCTGTATGCCATCACCGCAGTCCAGTTCATTCTTCCTACTCCAGTTCTGATTCCATTCTCTCTTCAACCCCCCATAAAATGTCTCTGGTTTATAGTTGTTCGTTGTTTTCATTTTCTCTCTCTCTGTCCCCTCCCCCCGCCCATCCCCTATGCTCCTGGGAATTTTTATTGATCATAGATTAACATCAGGGAATTATCAGCTTAACAATATACAGTGATACAATACAAGCCTATAATGTGTCTATTTTTGTAAGCTCTCTTTAGTTTAAATTATTTATAGTTCTTAAATGAGAACATTTTGGATATTTTTTTATTACATTTATTTCTCAAGATTTAATGATTTTTGACCATATGTGGGTCTCCCCTTTTCAATTGTATCTTACAAATATTTGCTGCTCAAAACAAAACTTTCCAAATGGTTTGTTTTGTTTAGTCATGAATGTTTTGTCAAATGCTTTTTCTGTCAAGTGCTTTTTCTGCATCTACTCATTGATCATATTCTTTTTCTTCTCTGTTGTGCATGTCTGCTGGGTGTGTTTGGTCTATACTGTGCTCCCACATTCATTCTTTGGAATATGTGTTGAGATTGGAATATTGTTGAGAGTAGCATATTAATATCCTCAACTATTACTATATTGTTTATATTTTTTAAAGATTTACTTTATTTATTCATACAAGAACTGGGGTGTAATCCAGATATGCCGGGGGTGAGAGGATTCATCAGAGACAGAGTGGTGAGCAGAACAGCAGATGCACTGAAATACACTGCTAAGGGGAGCAGCAGGTGAGACAGGAGAGGTCTGCTGCACCATGTGGGTTAGCTCTTGGCTGGGTATTGCACTCATGCAATGGCTGGCAGTAGCTTGGTAGCACTGAGACTTAAGCCACTGTGCCACCAGGGAGGCCCATATGTTGCTGTTTATTTTTTCCTTGTAGTTGCAGTTAGGTTCTCCAATATTTGGTGTATGAATACTTAAATTGTTATATTTTCTAGAGGGGTTAAATCATTTATCATCATCAGATGAACTCCTTTTTACAATTATTAGCTAAAAGTCTATTTGTCAACCTGAAATTTAGAACTGATTTTTTTAAATCATTAGATTGAAATATGTTCTGCTATCTTTCACTCTGTGTGTATATTAAAGCTGAAATGAGCCTGTTGTAAGCACCATATTGTTGTATTCTTTTTATTTTAATCTGTCCAACCATTCTGTATTTTTATTGGATAATTTAATCCTTTTATGTTTAAAATAATAATTGATACATAAGGACTTACTGTTGTCATTTCTTATCTTGTTCTCTTCTTTTGTGATTTGATGACTTTTTTCACAGGTTAACTCTGACTTCTTTGCTAGGATTTTTGGTGTACCACTACAGGTTTTTCCTTTGTGGTTGGTCTGAGGACATAAAATGGTCTTATAATTGTTAACACTATGTTTTAAACCGATAACATTTTAACCATCATAGCATTCCTAAGCTTAAAGCTTTTATACCCTTCCTCACGGTTTAGGTTATTGTTAAAATTTATACATTTTATGTTGTATGTTCAGTAACAGACAGTTGTAAGTATGGATTTTTAAATATGTTAATTATTTAGCTCTAAACTAGTCTATAAGTGAATTTACACATCATTACTATATATATGAGAATCTGACCTTGATTTTATGTATTATATACTTGGTATGTGGAGTTTTTTGTTTTGTTTTGGTTATTAATGTTGGCCTCTAATTTGTTTGGAGGTATTTTTAATTTTTTTAGAGGAGTTTGAGCAGGATAGGGTATTGGTTCATCTTTGAAGATCTGTAGAACTGACTTATGATGTCATCTGGTCCTGGACTTTAGTATTTTGGAAGAGTTTGATAACTGTTAGAAATTCTTTCTGCTTGGTTTGTTGAGATTTTCTAGTTTTTTCCCTGTTCAACTTTGGATGATTGTATATATAAATCTAAGAATTTGTCCATTTCCTGTAAGTTGTTGCATTTGTTGGAATATATATCTTCATAGTTCTTTGTTCACTTGCATCTGCAATTATACTGAATCCATTTGATCTATCTCATTTTCCTAACTTTTTCAGTAACTATTCATCTCCTGTATTTCATTTTTATATTTTGAATTTCAATTATTACCTTATCGAGAGCTTTATTTTCTACCTTCTATTCATTAATTTTTTTTTAAAGATTTATTTATTTGTGCATACAGAACTGGGGTACAGGCCAGAGGCTCAGGGACAGTGAGAGGCTTCACCAGAGACAGAGTGGGGAACAGAACAGGCAGATCGACGAAGTACACTGCTGAGGGGAGCAGCGGGCGGGTCAGGAGAGGTCTGCCACACCATGTGGTCACCTCCAGGGCAGGCGGGAATCGAACTCATGCGGAGGCGGCTTTAGATTCTCAGTGTAGTGCTTTAATCCGCTGCGCCACCTGGGAGGGCCCACTATTCATTAATTTTTATTTCTAAGGACTTCCATTTGTTTTTCTGAGTTTTCTTGTTATATTCTATTTTTTTGAATTTCCTTATCAGGGTTTTAAACTCATTATTTGGTAGGGAGAACATATCTTCCATGTCTTTGAAGTTGGTTTCTGGGTGTTTTTTCACTCTGTTTCATTGCTCCCCTATGGACTTGTTTGGCCTTTTGTTGTGTTCTTGTCTCTCCATTATTTGTTTTTGGAGTTATATTATTGTAACTGGAGCTTCTACTTGGCTCCTTCACTGACAAGGGTCCACCTAGCTTACAAGTCTGGGTCTGGGTAGGTGTGCTGAGTCTGTTGAGTTATTTAATTTTCATTCCTAATGAATATTTGCTTTGGATGTAGAATATGGGTAGATTTCTCCCTTTGCCCTCACTCTATCATTTATCCTGTAAGTCATTCAAGGCAAGGATGTAATTATTAGTAAATTGTTTTTACCCTTTACATATAATTTTTCCAGTCTGATTTCAAGATTTTTTTTTTTCTTTGTGGTTATGGCGTTTTGTTTATCATGTAGCTGTTTGTTTTTTGTTTTAATTTTTCATTGTGAGTTTACTGAGCTTCTTGAATCTGTGTATTTGTCATTTTTCCTAAATTTTTTCTCTAATTATTATCTTGTCTTTGTTGTGTTTCAGTTTATACCTTTGACACTATCAGTTTCCTAAACTTTGTTCATTTTTTTTCACTATCTCTTTATTCAGATGCTTCATTTTATACTATTTCTTTACTAAAACATCTATACTTAAAGTTATGTTTTGTGCATCTTATATTTTCTGTCTTATGGAATAGAGTATTGGTACTTTTGCAATACATGAATGATCGTAGAGTTGACATCTGTGATCATCTTTTCTCTGAGAATGGATTTATTTTCACGGTTCTTTGTATATCAGTTATTTTTGAGATCTTGAGATCTTTGTATATCAGTTATTTACAAGATCATTATCTTATAAAGATTATATTTATTTTTTTAATTCTGGAGACTGTAGATTATTTTCTTTAGCAAGTTATTAACCCTGTTAGATTTGAATAGTAGACTGTAGACTATATTGCCTTCATTGGGTCAAATTGCAGTTCATTTTTCAAGTATTTCTTTCATTGCTTGAAGTCTTTATATATATATATGTATATGTGTATGTATGTATTTATTTATGTCTCAAGGAGGTAGGCTGAGCCTTGTAGCTTCATCCATAGATTTAGACTCCTTTTCTGGCTCTCTCAAGAATTCTCCCTTGCATCCTCCCTAGTGGCGCGTTGGGTTGGAGCACCGCACTGCGAAGCTAAGCAGAATTGTGACCACTTCGCTGCGAGTTCAATCCCTTCCCGGGAGGTCCACATGGCGTGGCAGACTTCTCCAGTCTCGCCCGCTGCTCCCCTCATCAGTGTACTTCGTCGATCTGCCTGTTCTGCTCCCACTCTGTTTCTGTTGAATCCTCTCACTGCCCCTGTACCTCTGGCCTTACCCCATTTCTGTATGCATAAATAAATCTTAAAAGCAAACAAAAAGATTTCTCCCTTAATCTTTCATCTGCCAAGGTTTCTCCCAGGTTTATCTGGGCATAATATAGCAGATTTCTATCAGAATCTTAGTCTCTTAGGCTGTCACAGCTCTCTTTAACTGTAGCTGGGTTAATGGCAAACTGGAAGAAAAAAGAAAAGTAACAGGAAACTCATCCCATGCAGTACATTTACAGTTTTTTACCTCTTGCACATATATTCTTGGTTTTTTTCCTTACTCACATTTTTTGGGTGGCTGTGTTTTGAATTTTATCCAGAGATTCTAGTTGCTAATAGCAGAAGGATGATATATAGGGGCTCACAATGCTGTGCTAGAACCAGATCTCTGTTATTTTTTGAATAAAGAGCTTTTCTTAGCTTGCCAACCTCAGCCTGATAAAAATATGCCCTGTTCCCTAGATTCCCTCTAATTTTGTTTAGTTTATTCCTCGGTTAGTTCTTTATGTCCTCTACTTGCCTGCAATTGAGTACAGTTTTTAAGACCCAGGAAAAAGTCCATCTCATTTTGTGATTAAGTTGAGCTATCTCTGCTACTTGTCCTTTCTCCTTTCTGTGCCCGCTTGCTAATTTATACTTGCTATTAATATATAACATTTTTGTTTCATTCTTTAATCACTTCAAATAATTATTAAGTACCTATTTTTGTGATTTTTACTTGTTCTTATAAACTAAAAAGGGAGTATAAACATAGAAGCTAATAGAGGACTAGAAAGGCTTATATTTTTGGAATAACTAAAAAGAAAGAAAGATGTGTAGGACATGTGTGGCCACAGTACTTATATGAAAAGTGAAATTAGCTCCTGGATTAATAGCAAGTCACTTGAGTAGTGATGAGGGTGAATTTTATATGTAAAATCCTTTGTCAGTGTTCCTTACAAGGAGCACCTAATATTCAACATTATGATACAGACAAGAATGTCATAGCAGTTTATCCTTACCTTTTTAATATTCTCAGTGATTTTAACATATTTGCTGGTTTACATTTTTCACATTTGGAAATAGAATTTAAAATGGGAAATATAAAGAGAAAAAAAAAACGGCCTTTGACTCATTTCAGGGTGTGTTAATCATTAAGAGAGAAAATTGTTGGTTTAATAATTTTGTGGCAGTGAAGGTAATAAACAATATCTGGAAAATTCTATTGAAGTATCATTGGTGAGTTGGTCAATTAAAGTATGTATTAAATCTAATACCTAGACTATAAATTTACCATCCAAATAATGACAACATTTAACAACTATAGAGCTGCTGTCTGTGAAATTCTACTCTCTGCTATATAGTAATTTCCTACATGGCAAAGATTTCTTTTGTGACTCTCTGGTGTTAATTTTCACTTTTCCTTGTTTTCTGTAGATGTTTCTTTCTCAGCAAAATAGAAGAGAAACTTAATTTTTCTCCAGATGATCACAGTATGAGTGTAGATGGAGATGACATTTTCACTGACAGCATGGAAGTACAGGAGCAGGGAGAAAGCATGAATATTCTAATTAAAAGCTGCAAATTTTCCATGAAAATGAAGATGATAGAAAGTGCAAGAAAACAGGTAGTTACTGATTTATGTTCCTTTAATTTTTTAAATTACCATTTTAAACTTTTCCTTAAGTTTTGCAGCTTAAAGATAATAGAGTAGTATCTTTCCCTGTTTATAAGAAAGTGAACTTGAAGAAACATTATCAAGAAAACCTCCTAAGTTTATTATATTTTGTTCATCCCTGCAAGGTAATTATGTAATGTTCATTTAGAAGATAAATATGTGTAATCATCTTTAACAAAATGAAAACTTTCCTGTTAGTTACATAGTATATTTAAATTTAGTTTGTGAGTAGCTATAATTTAAGTAAATTATGACATATTTAAATATATATGCTTTACTTAAAAGTTTTATATAAAGCTTATTTAAATCATATTAAATCATATGAAAATGGGAAGTTATTCTTTTATTGATTCTATATTGATTGTTATAAAAGCAAAGAGAGTGACCCAGCCAGCCCAGCTACACCTGCAGTGAGGGAGCCTACCCAGGCCTGCCCATGGACCTAGTCACCATAGATGCCCTGTGATCACACCACATGCTGCTGTTTGCTCTGGAGAAAGCCCAAACTATTGTACATAACCTGGTAGAATCCCAGAATAGTAGGAAAGGAAGACCTGTGGTTAACACAGAGAAGCCCAACTAGAGCAGGGCAACCCTAAAGTAAACTGGAGAAAAAGAAAAATGCATATGGTCAAATAAGTCCTTGGAGAAACAGTACATTACAGAAAGAAAACTAATCCCCAGAAGCGAACAACTTACACATGAAAAGATTTTCTTCCTGCCAAATAATTCAGAATTACCATAATTGAGAAAATCAAAGAATTAGAAAAATATAAAGAAAACTCAGAAAAACAGATTAAAGATATACATGAAAAATCAGAAAAGAAAAATAGTACTATGAGAAACTACTATTATGAACAGAAAATAAAGTTTGAATAATTTCTATAAAGAATAAAATGGGGGCCCTCCCTGGTGGCGCAGCGGGTTAAAACACAGCACAAAGCTTAAGCCACTTCCGCATGAGTTCTATCCCCGCTTGCCCTGGAGGAGATCCACATGGCGCGGCAGACCTCTCCTGACCCGCCCGCTGCTCCCCTCAGCAGTGTACTTCGTCGATCTGCCTGTTCTGCACCCCGCTCTGTCTCTGGTGAATCCTCTCACCCTCTGCATCTCTGGCCTGTACCCCAGTTCTGTACGAATAAATAAATAAATCTTAAAAAAAAAGAATAAAATGGAATTGCAAGATGTCAATAATTAGATTAATGGCTAAGTTAAAAAATTCTGGAGGAAACCATGGAAGTAAATTAGACTAAATGAAAGAACTAATCAGTGATAGCTTAAGATACAGATATGAAAAGTACAAAGATGAACAAAGAAAGAGCAATACAAAGGGAAAATAATGACAGACACTTAAGTAATTGACAGACACTACATGGAAAGGAAATATAAGAATCATAGGAATTCCAGAAGAAGGGAGATAGAAAGGAACGGAAAATCTGTTTAAGGAAATAATTCAAGAAAGTTTCCCACACTTAAAGAAGAAAATGACCATGAAAATACAGGAAGCTAAAATAATATCAGACTACCTAATAATTCTACAGCAAGACACACAATCTTGGGAAATTTGCAATCATTAAAACTGGTCTCCAATCCTAAAACAGGTTTCATGTTTATATCAAAGAAATGAGTGAACATAATGAACTGAACAAGAAATTAAGTAAAACCTCAAAATGGAACAGAATGGTGTTAACAACCTTTCACATATCAACAGTAACTTAAAATGTCAATGAAATCAACTCATAAAAAAAAAAAGGATACAGAATATACTTGTGGATTTGGAAACAGAATCTAATCTTCTGATGCCTGTAGGACATGCACCTAAAACCAAAGATAAACATAGATTGAAAGTAAAGAGTTGGCAGGAACAGAGAAAGGCAGGAACAGCCATACTTATATGAGGCAACATAGACTTCCAGCTACAAAGTACGTAGGTGGACATTATGTAATGATCAAGGGGACAATATATGAGAAAGACATAACACACATACTCATCAACACACATACTCATTAAGTCAAGGGGCACCCAAGTATATTACACATTATATCATCTCTGAAAACAATCACTGGAGCAAACACATATGGTGTAGGAGATTTCCCACTCTGACCACTTTCAGTGGACAGATCAACAAGACAGAAAATAAATAAGGACATGATAGCCCTAAACAATGATCTAGACCAATTACAATTAACAGGCATTTATAAGACAGTATCTCACAAAAGCTGAATACAGATTTTTCCCAAGTGTATATGGATCATTTCCCAGGATTTACCATATATTGGATCATGAGACAACTATAAACAATTACATGAAGATTGAAATATATCAAGTGTCTTCTCTAACCATAAAGGTATCAAACTAGAAATCATTTACAAAAGGAAAGCAGAGTGAAATATTGTAATCATGGAGACAGAATAACACACCACTGAAAGACAACTGGATTAATGAGTAAATTAAAAATTACTGAAGTTAAAGAAAAATTAAAAAAATACCTTTAGGCAAATGATAATGAGTGCAGTACCTCCCAGAACATATGGAGCACAGCAAAAAGCAGAATTATATACTAAAACAGGTTCAATCAAGAAACAAGAAAGTACTCAAAGAAGTAACCTACTTTCTCACCTTGAGGAATTGCAAAAGAACCAAAAAAACCCCCAAGCCAATATAAGAAAAGAAATAATAAAAATTAAAGCAGAAATAAATAAAGAGCAGTAAAACCAAAAAGGTGGTTCTTGGGAAAAAATAATCTAGGCTTACCAAGGAAAAAGCTATTGGGAGAAAATTCACATAGGATCAAAACTGAGAGAGGAAACGATACATCAGACATGGCAGAAATACAGTTGATAATAAGAGATTACTATGAACTGTCATATGCAAATGAGTCCAATATTCTAGATGATAATGGACAAATTCTTAAAATTGTATCCAAGACTGAGTAAGTAAGAAATTAAAAACCTAAATAAATAAGTTACAAGCAAGGAAATTGAAACTAATCAAATCTCTTCAAAAACAAAAGCCCAGGACCAGATGGTTTCATAAGTAAGATCTACCAAACATTCAGGATGTTCACTCATACTGTTCAAACTGTTTCAAAAAATGGTGACAAAAGGAATACTTTCAAATATGTTTTATGAGGCCAACAAAGCACTAATACCAAAACCTAACAAAGATAAAACACAAAAAAGAAACCTTCATATCAGTCTTCCTAATTAACATAGATGCTAAATCCACAATAAAATCTTTTTTTTTTAAAAGATTTTATTTATTCATACAGAACTGGGGTACAGGCCAGAGATGTGGGGGGTGGGAGGATTCACCAGGGACAGAGTGGGGAGCAGAACAGGCAGATCAACAAAGTACACTGCTGAGGGGAGCAGCGGGCAGGTCAGGATAGGTCTGCCATGTCATGTGGATCTCCTCCGGGGTAGGTGGGGATCGAACTCATGCGGTAATGACTTAAGCTTCTTAGTGCAGTGCTTTAACCTGCTGCGCCACCAGGGAGGGCCCTCAATAACATTTTAGCAAATTGAATCCAGCAGTGTATCAAAAGATTGTACATAGTCACTAAGCAGGATTTATTTCAGAGAAACAAGGATGGCTTAACATTGAAAATCAATATAATTCACCACATCAACAAAAAGAAAGTTAAAAATCATAAAAGTGTATCAATAGATGCTGAGAAAAATAAGAGTATATCAGTAGATGCTGAGAAAACATTTGATGATGTTCAACATTTGTTAATGATAGCCCTTGAAAAACTTACGATAAAAAGGAACATATCTCAACATACTAAAAGCCATATATGACAACTCCACTTCTAGCATTATTTTTTAAAGATTTATTTATTTATTCATGCAGAACTGGGGTACAGGCCAGAGGTGCAGGGGTGGTGAGAGACTTCACCAGAGACAGAGTAGGGAACAGAACAGGCTGACTGAGGAAGTACACTGCTGAGGGGAGTAGCAGCTGGGTCAGGAGAGATTTGCGACGCCATGTGGGTCTCTTCAGGGCCTTGGGATCGAACTCATGCTGAAGTGGGTTTTAGTTTTTTAGTGCTGTGCTTTAACCCACTGCACCACCAAGGAGGGCCCTAGCATTTTTTTCTTTTTATAAAGATTTATTTATTTGTGCATACAGAACTGGGGTACAAGCCAGAGGCTCAGGGACATTGAGAAGCTTCACCAGAGACAGAGTGGGGAGCAGAACAGGCAGATAGATAAAGTACACTGCTGAGGGGAGCAGCGGGCGGGTCAGGAGAGGTCTGCCATGCCATGTAGTCACCTCGGGGCACTGGGGCAGGCGGGAATTGAACTCAAGCGGAAGTGGCTTTAGCTTCTTAGTGCAGCTTTAGCCCACTGTGCCACCAGAGAGGGCCTAGCATTATTACTATTTTTTTTTTTTTACTTATTTTTATTTTTTATTTTTATTTATTTTTTATAAGTTTATTTTTACATCATTTTGTACATTTGACCTAGCATTATTTTTAATGGTGAAAAACTATAGGCCTTCCCATTAAGATCTGGTATAAAACAAGGGTATCCACACTTACAACTATTATTCATCATAGTATTAGAAGTCCTAGCTAGAAGAATTAGTCAAGAGAAAGCTATATAAGGAATCCAAATTGAGAAAGAAGAAGTACCACTATTATTACTTGCAGATGATGTAATTATATAGAGAAAACCCTAAAAAAAAAGCACAGAAAAACTTAATAAAACAATAAACCGTTTCAGTAAAATGGCAGGTTAAAAAATCAACACACAAAAATCTTACATGCTGACAATCAGCATAAAGAGTAGAAGTGAAGCAGCTTAACAAAGGAGGTGAAGGATCTATTATTGGTGGGGGAAACTATAAAACATTTTTGAAAGAAGTAGACTAAAAAAAACAATGAAATGGAAAGATAGTCTGCTCATAGATTTGATGAATTATCATTTTCAAAATGGTTATTCTACAAAAGCAACTTTCAGATTAAATGCATTTATAATGAAATTCCAATTGTATTCTTCATTGAATTGTAACAAATACTTTTGAAATTTATGTTGAATCTCAAAAAGAATAGCCAAAACTTCCCAGATTAAGCAGTGGTGTGGGGGGGGGGCGGGGGAAATATAGTTACTTCAGACTTCAAATTATGCTAATATGTCATAATAGTTAAAACAGCATGGTACTAGAATAATATAAACATATTGAATAATTTTGAAAGCCCATAAATAAAACCAAACCTATATATGGACAACTAATCTATAACAAAGTATCAAAGAATTTACAGTGAAATAAGGAAAGCATTAATAAATGATGCTAGGAAAATTGCACTGCCATGTGGAGAAATATGAAACTAGACTACAATTCAATCATATTTTAAAAAGTCAGCTAAAGTGAGTAAAAGAATGGATATAAAACCATAAAACACACAGAAGAAAACATAGCTGAAACAATCTGTAACATAAACTTCAGAAAATCTTTGAGGACTCATCTCTAGAAGCAAGGAAGACTATAAAGCCTCATAGCTGGGACTACATCAATCTAAAAAGCTTCTGTACAGCAAAAGAGATGGTATCTAAAATGAAGAGACATCCTACTGAATGATAGAAAATATTTACACAGCATACATCTCTTAAGGGACTGATATCAAAAGAGGTCACACAACTCAACAATATAAATGAAGCAATTCAATAAAAAATGGTCGAAGAGGCACTTCTCTAAAGAAGAGATGGCAGACTTAACAGGACTATGAAAATATGTTCATCATCACATTATCAGAGAAATGCAAATCAGAACCATATGTCAATGCCATATGTCAAAAAGATGAGAAAAAAAGTTCTGGAAGTGTATAGAGAAAAAGGAACCCTCTTATATACTATTGGTGGAACTGTAGAGTGATCCAGTCACAGTGGAAAACTGTGGTTGTTCCTCAAACCACTAAAAGTGGATTTGCCATATGACTCATTTATTCCACCCTTACGACTCTAACCATATAATAACACAAATACACTATTTGAAAGGAAACCTGCACTCCT